CTGCGTCAGCACTCAGTACAGAGGTGTAGGCAACTTTGCTTGTTTTCTGGTTATCTGTTTTCCCCCTGTTTTTTTCCATTCCAGGCAGACCTGGGAGTCTTGTTTTGAGTTTACCACCTCAATGACAGCACGCAGATTGCTCAATAAAGGGCTAGACATGCCCAGATCGGAAAGACGGATCAAAACAAAGCTGCCATTAATCAACCCACTTGAAGTGGACAAGATGAAGGCAAGCAGACAACAGACCTAACTTTACCACCCCAGCGCAGAGGCCACACCGCTGTCTGTGTTGAGGACACTATGTCCACTGCCACGCACAGGGTTTTCCTGGTAGACATGAAGTTAGAAGGTTGTGCCTCGTTATCAGGCATCCTCAGCATTTTTTGTTCTATTTAGATTTCAGCCTTGGAAACCTCTCCCTCAGTCACTCTGTGTAAGATCCACACAGGACTGGCCGGACAGCCTGTTCTTATCCAAGATCAGGAGGCAGCGTTCATTGCCACAGCAGCCTTGTTCATGAATCACTTGTGATAGTGCTTCTGGGAGGAGTTCTGCACAGGCTATGCAAATGTATCTTCACCTGTAAATACACATACAGTACGTGCCGAGTCAGATAAGCCAGGATGATTTAAACTTTCTTTGTGTTTTTAAAAGATCAGATCCTTTATTCAGACCTCTATGTCCGTCTCACTTGACAGGATTTCTCTGACCACTTTACTCAGATCTACTGTACTGTGTTGTTTTCCCCTTATTATTCCCTGTCTAATCTTAATTAAAATGTTCCCCTTTATTGAGTGAGCCCTGTTTAATCTCCACCAAAGAAGATTTCTCTTCACAAAAGCTAACAAGCAGGCTGAAAAAGAGCGGCTGTTATCCTTGCAGCTACATAAAACATTGGGGGAGCTACAGTAAAAAGTCAAAGGAAGATAATGACAGAAAATCAAGTAATGTACAATACGTCAGTGGAGGACTTTTCTTTAAGTCTTGAGCTGATCAAAATGCAAAGCAAAGAGACTCTGAAAACCTGAGTAACCTTGACAAAGCCAGGGTCCTTCCTACAATAACAAGGAAGATATATGCTTCCGAACCAACAACAGGAACCTAACACTGACTGACACATCCACAGATCTTTTGCATCTAGAGCAGAGGGTCCCAACCTTTTTTGTCAGCTGAACCCCTTTCAACCTAAATTATTTGCCTCAAGTACACCCTTGAGATTTTAACTAAATCAAACTGTTCAATAAATGTAGTTCAATGCTACAGCAACCCCCTTCACAAGCTTCTTTTCCCTTTGTACAATATTAATATCACTACTGTTGTTTTTCTTATTATGACATTGTTATTTATTAATAGGACTAATTAATTTGACATTGACATTTCCATCACAATCTCACGAACTCCCTGCAGTACCGTCACGAACCCCTGATCTAGAGGAAAACTGGACTGATGAATTGGCAGTTCTTTATCCAGATGGATGCTATTGTATCGTCTCTACTGTCCTTCAGGCCCTATTCAAAGATTTGCTCTGGCACTAGTATTCCAAGTGGAAATAAAAATAAATCATTGCCATTATATCCGGTGTATTAGTCAGGCTTCACCACACATTGTTAGCACCAGTCAAAATGGATCAACAGATCAGAAAGTGATTGCACAAAAAGACATTACAGTTCTGGGTTTTTGTTTTGTACACAAGAGGTATGCAATCATTTTCCCAACATGTGACTGTTCTATTAAACCAATGTTCACTTCTCAATCCAATGTCATCTGTCTGTCTCTCAACTGTCTGGTTTTTGTTCCAATTTAATTGTCAATTGAATGCCACATTTGATAAGTAATTTACCATAGACATTTTTACAACATTTTTGAGCTCTCCGCCTCTAAAAGATTTTAAACTTACCCACATATTCATAACGAACTAGAAAATTACAACTATTGTTATAGCTGAATACAGTACATCAATTGAATAATTAGTTCAAATGAGAGTCTTGCAGGAATAAAAACTCAACCAATCTTTCCTCAGACTGTGGGAAGGATGCAGTGTAGTGCACTTTTCAGAAATCCCTGACCCAGTATTTTAACAGAATGAAGATTTTCCAAGGTGATGCCCTGGGCTGATTAATTATTTTGTGTTCTCTCTTGTCTCTGAAGCCAGTGCAGATATTTAAGAAAGCTAGTTCACACAAACAGTCCCATCACCCATCTCTTGCTCACTCTCTGCCCTCCAATCTGCTCAAATCAGTGGTTTTGGTCACTTTAACACAGACTGTTTTGGGTGCCTTCCTGTTTTCTTGCTGCGGGGCTGTGGTTTGAATTACAGTATGTTGTGTCCGTTTTGACTGCTCGCTACAGCACAGAGACACCACACTGCTAGGCGATGAGCAACAAAGGAAGAAAAGAGATGCATACTTCTTAACCTGTTAATGAAGTACTGAAACAACAGTGGTGCAGAGTTGCAAAAAAACAATATGGCAGCCAAACAACAAAGAGCACACCATAGCTAGACCAGGGATGAGTACCCCCAGGCTTCGGGGTCACAGGAGGATCCTTTGATTTTCACCATATCTCTGGTCCTGATTACTAAGCTAATTATCTGTTAAGAACATAGTCTTTTTTATGCTTTAATCAGTTACTGATTGATATTTACCTGTAAAATGCAAAGTCATCCACCTTGATTGTATCTGCCCATGTGTGAGCTAGACCACAGGAACTGTGTAGACATCAACTCTTGAAATATGATAAAACTGGACTGGTCGTTGCTCCAACCAGAGATCTTAAACATTTCATTTAACAGATCTGTCACATATTAACATCTTTCCCCATTTTTTTAAAGTTAGAATCGCTCGTTGTCTTATCACACACCAGCCAAACTTGGGATTGCCAATTGGAGTTTACATTTCAGCTCTCTGATGATGACTCCTCTACAGGCTCAGGAAAATAATGAGACTAGCAGGTCTGTTGCTCTGTTGTGCCCAACTTCAGGATCACACTGACAGGAGAGTCAGCTTTGACAAGCGCATCTCTCAAGCATGCAGGAGTCCCTGATCACTGAGAGCTCAGAGGGCCCTGACCAGCTTGCAGAAATAGTCACCCCATCAACAAGACGTCAGCTGCGCACCAACACTTAGGAAAATCCTAACAAAGAGCTTTGTTTATCAATGGATTGAAGAGAGACCTGTGCGACACAAGTAATCCACCATTGGGGTATCTGAGCCTACCACACAGCACACCACACAAACCAACGGTCCCAACTTTGTAGATGACTTCAGTCTCAGCCCACATATCACATATACATGTTCATGGATGTGGTCATGAATTGGTTCAATTTATTAATAGAAAACTGGGTGGGAAAGCACCCCCAACCCAACAACAGACAGCAATTAAAAAGGCTTGATTCATTTTTTAAAATCCAAATAATGAGTTTAATTAAGCAACTTAGATCCGGGGTAGAATGAAAAGCGAAGAAGCTCTTGAGGGTGGCAGCTGCACTGTCTGTGCTATGTGCCGCACGGTCTTAGTGATTTACCATAACATAAGGGGCGAGACTGGAATTTCCCATTGCTACTTAAAACTGTTTTTCTGCCCGGGACCAGGGCTCCAACCTAGAAGAGGAGCCTGTCCTTCTGATCACTTCCACAGCAGGATATTCAGCTTGGCAAGTTTCATTAGTTGGTACTTAATTCAACTGCTTAATTAATTGAAATGGCTATGCCAAAGAACAACACTAAAATGGACCAAGGGGTGCAGTGTTTGATACCCACCTGGAAGCAAACATGTGCACAACATAGACATGCACACACAACTCATCACACCCCAGCTGGTGCGAAGACCATCGTCAACACGACAACAGAAATCTGCAGATGGTATTTTGTTGGAGAGGGGGGGGACCTGTTGAGGCTGTAAACCTAATTTCCTAACAGGGGACAAATCAATAGGATTACAAACAACGCGATTACCCCCTGGAAGACAAAAGTACAGGACAGGTTGCGGAAATAATTTAATTTAAATTAATTTCTGCACATAGGTTTGGTTTGAGGAATTATGCTTATGATATACTGTACATTTTAGACTTCAGTAACCTCCAGGCTCTTCACTCAAATGGTAATAAATAGTGTTACTAACACTGGATTATACATCAACGTTGTATAATTCTCATGGCCACCCCCAAGTCTGACACGCAAACTGGACTGGCAGCTTCTGTCACACTCCAGGCAATGTGTGTCTCTTCCTGAAGGTGACGTAACTCCTGCCAGTGCGCCACTGTGCCGTCACTACAGCTCCCCGTGCCCTGTGACTCATCTTGTTGTGTGGAACAGCAGATTCATCAACACTAATCTAAACTCACCCGGATCACTTAAAACAAATTTGCTGCTTTGGCGCCCTCTGGTGTACAGACAGAATATTACAACGCGTAGTACCATGCTCCCTCCTTTACTTACTGGGCAGAAGAGATACACACCAAACAAAAGGAACCCTGAAGAACGATAGATATCTAGTGCCTGAGCAGCCACTTTATTAGAGCCTGGTAACACTTCTTCATTTTAGATTTTTCAGCACTATCGTCTCGTACAAATTGATGAAGCCCCCAAAAAATATACCCTACTTAAGCAGAAACCCATAAGGACTCATATTCATGAAGGACACATGAAGAAATCAGAACAGACAGCTTCACGTTGCTTATGTTGGTATGTATTGCAGAAGCACAAGCATGCCTTGAAATTTCAGTCCACAATGTGGTCATGTCTCTCAGGTATGTAACGCGGCTACATTAGGCTGCAAAAGCGAGTTCTCAAATTTCTTTGTGAAGAAGAATCTCTGCCAGAAGTCTGACCTGTAGAATTTCCCTCACCTGCTTCACTTGGTGATTCTGCATCATTTGTACCTCCCCTGCTGCCAGGACCGTATCCCTGAATTAATTCAACGCTCTTGGGACAACGGAATTGCGGGCTGTGGGAGTTCTGGTAGCTGCTGTTGGATCCCTGGGAGCAGAAATGAGCTGAAAGAGCTGAAAGAGACGCCAGGTTCCCCAGATCCCAGTCATCCCTTCCGGTCCCCCTGATCTGAGTAGGAGGCAGGTCTTTCGGAGAACCCTGAAGCCAGAATAAGCTTGGGTCATTGGAGGACTTCTGGTCCGTCTGTAAAGGCTGGTCCATTAGGGGATCTGGATGGCAGCCGGAAGAATTTGCCGATCTCAGGTGAGCTGCGGGAAATAGGTCTCTGATGGAACCAAAGATCCTGGGGGGTGACTGGAAATCTACATATGCTGTGGGGCTGTGGTTTGAATTACAGTATGTTGTGTCCGTTTTGACTGCTCGCTACAGCACAGAGACACCACACTGCTAGGCGATGAGCAACAAAGGAAGAAAAGAGAAGGAAACAAAGGAAACTGTTAATGAAGTACTGAAACAACAGTGGTGCAGAGTTGCAAAAAAACAATATGGCAGCCAAACAACAAAGAGCACACCATAGCTAGACCAGGGATGACCCCCAGGCTTCGGGGTCACAGGAGGATCCTTTGATTTTCACCATATCTCTGGTCCTGATTACTAAGCTAATTATCTGTTAAGAACATAGTCTTTTTTATGCTTTAATCAGTTACTGATTAGTCCGCTCCCTTCTGTTCCAACGGAGATGTCGTACCTGGCCCTTTCTGCCTCCACCTCAGCCTCTCCCCAATCCTCTCCTTGAGTCCCCGAACTCCCCTCGGTCCTTTCAGCAGTAAGGCGATGGCCCTGCTCTGCTCCTGGATCTCCTGGTGCAGCCGCTGCTTCTCCATCAGCAGGGTCTCCACACAGTGCTGCAGCCTCCCCACCTCCACACTCCACCCCTGGACAACACATCCACACAGTCAGCTGGAGACGTCACCCCGTTTCCAACTCATTTATGCAGCTGTCCTTTCCTTACGGAAGCCACTACTTAATCAACAACACCGAACACAATCCGACAGCTGAAGAACAGTAGTGGGGATGTTTTGATTGAAGTACTCAAGGAGGAAGGACCGGGACTGGCCGCGCACGCTGCCCATTTTGAAGACGATCCAAGAAGAGCCTGGCGGCAGCCACTGCACGGGCCTTTCGAGGCGCACTTCTCCCTGACGAAGAGCTGGAGTCCGAGCGCGTGACGAAGGGTCCGTACGCAGACCGGGGGAGTGGGGATGGCGGCTGGCGTGAGCGGAAAAGGGGAAGGAGTCCCGGGAAGGCCTACCTGTCGGCACCACTCCTGGATGGCGCTGGCGGGCAGGGGCCCCTGCACGCTGCCGTCCCGCCGCAGGAAGACCTGGCCCCGGTCCGTCTGGTACAGCACCGGCGGGGCCGGGGCCGGCGGCGGGCACAGGCGGAGCCGCAGCACCCGCAGGGAGAGCCGCGAGGGGGCGCCGGGCCGCACCACGGGCACGAAGCCCAGGCGGTAGCTGTGCGTCGACCAGCAGCCGCAGGCGGTCCTCCTGCCGGGGGTCGCAGCGCACGCCCCGCACCACGCCCGCGTCGTCCACGCCCACCAGCAGGCTGCCCCCTCCCCCGTTCAGGAAGGCGCAGGCGTACTTCCGGAGGTGCTGGTGGAACCCCTTCTTCAGGTACTCCCCTACAGCACGGGAGACAGGCAGCATCCGTGGAGGGCCCTGCCCAGCACCCGACTGCGAGGCGCGGAATCGTCCGGGCCCTGACAAGGCCGCCTGGCAGACTGCTTCCGGACCAACAGCGGGACACGGGAGAGCATTCACAAGCCGGGGCCGAGGGAGAGTGGAAGGTGCCGAAACCCTGGTTTCTTTCCGGGAACGGCTGGATGAGATACTTGGACCGGTTCCCTAACACTTCCCCTGGATCGACATCCTCGGGCACGAGCCGTGAGAAAGCTTGGTCATTAAGTTAATTATTACCAGCAAACCGTATAAAATTGAGCCCACTGGTAGCCTTTTCCTAAGTCGTTGAATCTGTGGTTAAACTCCTACAGGATGGTGTTTAATCGGACAGAAAAGTGCAATGCTTGGGATGCAAAATAATTCTACTTAGTATTTCAAATAATAAAATAAGCGCTTTCCAAAATTCATAACGAGACGAGTTTCACAGGGAATGTTATCTTTCAGAATTGACCAATAATTTACAAATTGCACCTAAGACCTGGTCTACCGTGAATTCCAACCGGAATGGAGCTGGGAAACAGAATTATCATCTCAACAATGAAACAATTAACAGCTCGGGTGGAATAAACCTAAGAGAGCTCTCTAGAAACGAGTGGCACTTGACAACGCACATCTTACCAACCACAAATGCTACCTGTTTGAAATGAGCAAGAGCAGTGTTTCAGATGCCTACAGAAACGAGGGCTCTTAAGAGAAATTGACGCGTGGATAAAATCCAAAAGTTTCGCTGTTTGTGTTAATATATATATTAATTTCTCAGCCTCGTGAGCAGTAAATGAATTTCCAATCGCCGTCTCAACTTGGCGTGTTCACACGTTCAGCATACTGTAGCAAGTAGCGCCACGCCACGTACAGATCACCTGTGCACAGCTTTTCAAAGGCTCTGCTATGAAGAAAAAATACGCCAAGCCTAGCCCGAACTGTGTACATAAAGCCGCGAATAATCCTCGTATATTAACACACACCTTCAATGCACAATGCAGTTTGGAAAACAATGCAAAATGTAACGACTCATTAATATAAAACACAAGCAACCGTAGCCTTTGAAGCTTGGTTCACATATTACACTGGAAACAAAATCGATGGGAAAAAAATAAACGCCCAAAAGCGCCCCCCGCCAGCGTAATCCCACAAAATCATCTACCAGCATTTTCTCTTGTTAGAAAACACTTCGCTTCATTAAAGTGAGCTGCGGCGGTGCTTTGCATCTACACCAATACACATTTCCAGCATTTAAATGTAGACAAAAAAAACGGCGTTACCTGAGCGAAAAACCTAGTGTTGGCCCGCTGTATGCCGAAGATGACGGTTAAATGCGATCAGTTTCCAGAATATTAAACGTGACGGAGATAATTTGCGGCCCATGGAATCCGGCGATGAGATCAAACTCCACTCACAGCGCAGACACGAAGGCCTAGGCGGTATCTGGACACGAATGTGCTCCCGCTGAAGTCGTTCCCAGAGTTCCCCTGTCCCGGTTCTGGGCCGGTTCTGCTCGCCAAGATCACTGCTCTCGACCGCATGAGCCACTGTGTGTTAATACCGAACACAGCGCACTGGGAAAACTATCCAAATCAAGTCACATTCGTAAACATCTCAATCCAATATGTTCATATAAAGCATTTGGATATTTTGTACCTTATTTATATACTGTATATGGCATTGCCACTACACTCACAGAACTGTGTATATACTGTGTATTCTATCAACCCCAAGAACAATATCATTCCTTTGCTTTTAGGTTTTAATTCCAACATCGAACAGCTCAGTTTGACTCCCTCTGGCAGGGGTATCAAAGAACTGGAGTCCTGAAGGTTTTTCAAGCAGCCCCACACAATTAAGTACAGATCTGCAACAAGTTAACAGGCGGAGTAAGTGAGGTCACAGGCAGCCTCGCCCCTCTGCCTCGGAATATCACACCTTTATCCTACTGCACTTGCCTCCGCCACGCTTGAACTCCACGTTGCGGGTCTCCCTGCCAACGTGTGCCCCGTAGAACAGCCTCTCCTTGCCCACAAGCTCCTGGTTTTGGATGGCGCTGTCGGACTGAGTGCCCGCGGGTTCGGGTGGGGCCAGCTCGCTCTCCGGGGGGGCCGGCTGGTCACTTCGCCTGCAGCGGGAATGCTGGGAGCGAGAGACGAGAAGAAGGGAGAGCTGAGGAGTGCAGCGGGCACCCCGACACATGTGCCACCTCTGACCTCGCACTTCTTCAACAGCTCAGCAGGGTAGGCGCGTCTGTGTCTGCTGACATCTCTCAAAAAGGAATGGGGGGCTTTCCAAATTGCAGAGCTGTGCGTAGTGTTTCTACCTAGTGTGAGCTGATGCACTCTCGCAATGTTCATGGTTTTTTTTTTTTACTCTTAACTGTACCAGTACGTTTTTTGATCAAGGACTGTTTGCTGATTAGATCCCTATCTGCCCTGAAAGACGCTACCTGACAGTTTCTTACTGAGAGCTGTTTGTGCTGCCTGGCGGCTGTCTGAAGGCTTTGGTCTCCTCGCCGTCTCCCTCTGCGGACCTCCGAGCCTGGTGGGGTATCTCTCTGAAAGTGTTCCTTCCTCTCCAGCTTTCTGCCAGACGCTGTCCATGCCAGGCTTTGCCCTTCCCACGTCTCTGTAGGTTCCTGGTGCCATGTCCACCCGCACGCTGGACACCTGATCTCCTGGACAGGTGTGATGCTAGCCCCAGGAGAAACTGGGGCAGGCTGATGGCTGTGTGGGAGAACATGATCGCTAGGCTGTCTAGGAGGGCACACGTCACTAGGGGTAAACCCATGGTTTTTAGCTGCGTTAGGCAGAGCAACTGGCTGGCACTCGGGGGTGCTTATCTGGTCATCAGAAGGGGACTGTGGGCTGCTTGAGAGAAAAGCATCCACTCTAGGGCTCACACTATTGTTGCTACATGCGCCTGTTAGGTCTTCTGGGGTATCACTTTGTTTGCTGAAATGCCCAGCACCATTGCAAGTGTTTGCAGTGGGGTTGTCAAGCATGCAAGTCAGAGGTCTGGGGGTATCAGTCTGGCTGCCAAGCAGACAAAGACGATTGTCGCCATCAAAAACTGTCTCATGGCAAAGTTGGGAAACTGGATTCCCGTGGTCTCCAGAGGTATGAGCTGGCTGGCCATGAGGGAAAGCCTTTACAACTGGGGAAACAGGCAGGCTGTCAGCAGGGGTTGTTGTGTGGTTACTGTTAAGTTGTCCCTGGTTGCCATGCATACTGGCGTGCTCATCATGGTTACTGGGGTTTGCTCCAGACACGCATGTCTGGTCGCTAGGAGGAATCGTGTGGTCATGAGGTGTCCCAGCCTGTTTTGTAGGGGTGACAGGCTGGGAAGAAGAAATATGCAGTGGGTTGCTGAGGAGGTCAGTATCATCGCCAGGGACTGGAGGTTTATGATTAGGGGTGACAGACACATTTGAGTGAGAGCAAGCCTGGGTACACCTGTGGTCATCTTCAGTGAAGTGACTGGAGTGAGTCTGCAGTACAGTGGAAGGGACATGGCAGTCCTTCCAGAGGCCACCGGGCTTGGTGCCAGTGGCACTGCAATCGGTCCTGTTGGGGGTGGGCACTTCTTTACCAACACTGGAGTCTCTGCAGTGGGCAGGGGACGTGCTCTGCTCAGTTTTATCACCCTGAGGCTTGCTGTCATTGTCACGAGCTCTGTTGGTGAAGACATGGCACTCAACAGTAATGGCATCTGGCCGATCCATTATAATAGAGCTTGGGGATATCAGTGTCTGCCTTGTCCTTGTCCTTGTCCGGCTCAAGACTAGAAAAGAAAATAGAAATCCACATTAAAACTTCAAGTTACATTACAGGGTTACCTGTGCACTCTGCATAACTTTAAGGACCTTGTTCAGATTTGGCTAGCAGTCTCCAAGCTGTTACATATCCACCTTCACATTACTGTCCTCTTCAGTACAAAGATATTGAACATTTTCATGCTACTGAGTCCAGAAGCTACTGTACCAAAGATCCCTGAAGGTATCACAGTCACTCAGTGATGCAGAGCTCGGCAGTATTAAAGGCCTACACTCCTGAACGTACTTCTCACTTCCCTATCTGCTCAGCTATATAGTGGGGCTGCTGGTGCAGAATTGCTCCTATGCATCACTCAGGAGGGTGATTTCAGTGGTGGGCGAATTGGTCCCTCATATACATAAGTGCTTTGAGTTCCGTTGGGAAGAAAAGCAATACACGATGCTGAGAATTTCAATTATGAATCATCAGCTGCTCAGACTCTTAATTTACATCATTCACATCTCTGTCATTACACGACTCAGTTGCGTAACCTGATCTGATGTCATAGGGATTGACAATGACTATTAAGAAACGAGGAAACATGAATGAACTCTGAGCTATGGGAAAAAGTGAAGCGTATTAAACTGCTGGATCAGTGACAGCCCTGTTTTGGATGCACGTGCCACTTTGCCAGCTTTCTGTAGATTTGCTGATGATGCAGATGATTTGCCAGTTGGTGAATAGCTCATTTCAGTTACATTATCAATCACAGCTCAGGCTCTGCAACCCAACTGTCGATCTGCAGAGTGTCCAAGAGCTCATTTGTGTGGGCACAGTAATGGGTTTTAACCCTATGTCAGCTACTGAGTTTCAAAACTCCCCTTGTTCAGGCACTGTGAGCTGTCTTAACTGGACCTACTATAAGTAGTGTTTGGTACATTATCATTCCCACCCATGTTTAAATTAGCATGTTGAAGAGTATATACATTTCTTCATGAATATAATTTTAGCAACTATATACTTTCAAGTAGAGTGTCAGTAGGGTTTAATATTTGGATATTTTTACAACCAAGAACCGAGTGCAGAAAAGGTCTAAATCAGCACAGCAAGCACACTCAATACCTGTATCAATTAGCCCTGGTGATTAGGGGCCAGCAGGCACTGAAACCAGCGGTCATTCAATACCAGTGGGCCTGGAGTTCACTCCCACAAGATCACATTCTAACCTTCTCCCCTCTGAGGACAGCGTCAGTGGCGTGGAGTTAACCTGCTGATGGGACTTAATGGGGCAGAACCTGGGCTAGCCTGGGCCTGCACAGGGGTTCAGCCAGCAGCCATTTTTATGCTCTTCAGTTACCTCCCAGCGCAGCGCAGACAGCTGGGGAAGTCTTGTGCAGCTCTGCTCGGACTCTGTGACATCAAAGTGACGCAACGCATTCTCTATGACATCTGCAGTCCACCATTCCAAAGAGTTCCGTCATGGAATATACTCCCTGCCTGCTCACTTCACCAGGGGCATTTCCTCCCACAGTATGGGAGAGGTACTTTCAATACAGCCAAGTTTATAAGATCTAACAGCAACACATTGTGCATTTCACAAGCCCAACATATTAATTTCTTGGATTATTAAACAAGATGTTCTAAATTTAAGGTGGAATGACATAGGTGGAAGAACCTAACCTCCTTTTAAGTTACTTTTTTCAGGTTAAAAGGCATCCACAGCATGAAAAGCAGATATCCATCAATGCATTGGAGAAAATCCCCAAGAAAAAAAAAATCCAACTATTTTCAAAGCAATTCGTATCATCGGCCCTTCGCTGCTCTTTCATAGCTGAGTTTTTTATGAAAGAGTTCTGTGTCACGTTCCACATGGCGTGTGCGTAGCATTTGATTGGATGGTAATTTTCTTCTTCTGCGGAGATCGGCTGGAGACAGACAGCAGGATCTACACAACTCCCCACTGAAAGCTGGATCTCCCACAGCTTCCAGTCTGCATGCACACTTCCACAGTTCGGCTCAGAACCCTCCCCAGCTTGGAAAAGGAAACACTAGCTTATTAAGCATAATCAATTGTTTTTTTTAAACTGTATGCATTGGTCTATGATACTCATTGTAAGTGAATGATAGAAAGTATGTCAGAAAGTGGCAGTTAAGATGTTCTAGTGTCGGCAGCCAGATCACCCTGCAACTCACCACTGGCAGCCCACTGAAGCTCAGCAGGTGTGAGCCTGGTCAGTACCTGCACTGGTTGCTGCTGGAAGAGGTGTTAGTGGGGCCAACAGAGGGCGCTCACCCTGCAGTCTATGGGGGTCTTAATGCCCCAGTATAGTGATGAGGACACTATACTGTAAAAGGGTGCAGTCCTTCGGATGAGACGGAAAACTGAGGTTCTGAGTCTTTCTGCTTTAAAAATCCCAGGGTGTTTCTCGAAAAGAGTAGGGGTGTTACCTCAGTGTCCTGGCCAAATTTCCTATTGACCTTTACCAGTCATGGCCTCATAATAATCCCCATCTATGAACTGGCTTCATCACTCCGTTCTCCTGCACACTAATAGCTGATGTGTGGTGACCGAACTGGTGCACTATAGCTGCTGCTGCATCACCCAGGTGGGGGCTGCACATTGGTAGTGGGGGGGTTGAGTCCGCATTACCTGTAAAACTTAGAGTGGAGCGTCCAGAAAAGCGCTATGTAACTGTAAGCAATAATAATTATTATTATTATTATTATTATTATTATTATTATTAGTGAATTTTAGAGAAAGGGTGAATATATCTGACTGAAACTATCTTGGTGTTTAAGGGAAAAATAAGCACTCAAAGCTTCCTAAATAAATCACCACTAAACTACAATATCAGCACGTGAGCACAGAGAAGAGCACAACACGGAGAGGGACCCGACCTCATACAATGAGAAAAGATGCCATGACAGAGCCACAAGAAGAAGTATGCAGATGGCGAGTGCTAGGAGGGGTCCTGAAAGACAATAACTGCTGTAGCTTATGCACTTTGTTACTTTCAGAATCACTTTACGGACCTTTCTGCCGTTTTTGTTTATTTTTATTTTTTCTTAGAAAAGTTGTGATACCTTGTTTTTACCAGTGTTATTTGGAATGTGTTTCATTTTGCAATGCTTGCTGCTAAAATTGCCCCCTTGGGGATGAATAAAGTATTTAGATTTTAACTGAACGGACTCTTCATCACCACAACAGCAAGCTGCAAGAAACCGCACTCATTAATCAACCCTCCGTGGAAAGAAACAGCTTCGCTGGAGGAGAGAAAAAAACAAACTTCTTCACGTGCATCTTTTTTTTTGGAGGTTTTACCAAAGCACAAATCAACTTCTTTGTTTAATTATTTCCAACAATTAAACAAAAATAGCCACAGTGGTATACCTGGTCTCGCTTTATTCCCGTATGGCTCAAGACTGTAAAAAGTCCGACGTATTAAAAAAAGTCTCTAAAAGAGACGTTCATTTGTAACCAATCCCCAAACATGTTGGAAAGAGCTAGTGTTTTCCTGTTTATTTTATTAAGAATAACAGTCTTACAGACAGAAGGCCCCCGAAGGAAAATAACTCCTTTTATCTCAGCCAAAAAAAAATATTAAAAAAGAGGGCCCCGAATGGCCAAAACTGTCCAGTGGGCTGTTACTTGCTTATAAAAAGACTCCTTGGGCCGGATTTCTAACAAAAAGAGACACACGACTGCAAAAAAGAAAAGGCGCTGCGCATAGTCTCGAGTACCCAAGATCCTGGTGGACTTGTGTCTGCTACAAAAGAGCACTGAGGCAGTGGGGTAGGGGGTGACGGTGGGCAGCAGCAGCCTCAGAAAATGCTGGGAGACTGGTGCAATGTGCAGGAGAGCCCTGGCTCGATGCCCCGGGGGGGGGCGTGTTTCCTGTGCGTCGCTCTGCGAGGATCCGGGCGGGCCTCGTCCTCAGGGCCGCCCCTGTTTCAGCCTGTCGATGTGGAAGGTGAGCTTGAGGGCGGGGCCGAGCTTCAGCCCCATGTACTTCATCATCATGTCACTGCGTAGCAGCATCAGAGCTTTGCCGTCTATCTCCTGCAGCACAGAAGCAAGGGGGTTATACAGAGCTCCTCCGTTCTCCTGGGGCCTATTCATTCTCTTAACCCCGATCTGGCCAGAAGTGCTCAGACAGCTCTTTCTGTGGGACATGAGGTGCCTGTAGTGTATGTCCATCCCGGTGCACGAAAGACAAGCAGAAGGCCCAGGTCAACTCTGCCTTTCAAAATATTTTTTGGTGTGGACCTTTTTCGAAGAGGCACGTCCCCTCTCTGTATCCCTGTTCACACTATACTGCTCTTATTTATACTAGCTGGTACAGTCCTATGCCAACACTATGGGACGGCGACGGTCAGCTGTGGTACCTACGTGTTTTCGGAAGAGGTCAGCGTGTGGGCCCAGCAGAGGGTCGGTGTCCCGTACGAACTGCATGACGTCCTCTACTGTCCACAAGCTGGGATCCTGGCCGTTGGAGCGTGGGCTGTCTCGAGAGCCCAGGAAACGCTCTGAGCCTGGAGGGGCAGGGGCAGAGGGGAAGAGATTGGAGTTCAACTCTTTCAGTCACTGGAAATCGAGCTCAGCAGCAGAGGCTGTCTCTTGCTAACCCACTGTACAGCAGTTCCCAGGATTCACGAAAATGAATTGCTTGTAGCTAAAATATACAGAATATACAGAAAATATACAGAATATTAAAAGACAACTTCACACTTGCACTCTGACAAACCTTTACAACTGCAAATCGGCAGAGTGCTACTTATTCCATTTTGAGAAAGCTTTAGAACGTAACTGATCTTTGTTAATCTTACCGGATTCAGCCGAACTTTTCTTCGGTTAAGTAATTAAGAAAAAAACAGACAATTTCCGGTGTTTTGGGGCTCTAGGAGATATTTACAAATGTGCGTGTTTCAGGAAATCCTGTGTACAGCACAGGCCCGGGTTCCAACTGACCGCCAGAGTTGAGGCGATGTGGTTTGCAGCCAGGACTGGTCCTCTGGGAGAGAGACCGCAGAGGGGGTGGGCGTCCCTCTCGGGAGCCCCGGAGCGGGCTGGTGGGGGTCCCGGGCGTCAGCGAGGGGTCCAGACCGTCCACACCTCCACTGACTCCATTCTCCAGGAAGAAAGGATCTGCTGGCAAGGCAGGGCACAGTCAGGACAGGGATGCTCAGACACACCAGTCCCAGCACTAGTTCACAAGCTCAGTCCGTTACCCTTACACTCTCCCTTCGTTGTCCTGTAACGGAAGTAGTGCAAAATTCTCTGGGATGGCTTCTGATCAGGAAGTGTATGAGGTACAGCAGTACAGAGAAATTCTGATAATGCTGAGCAGGGAAGAAAGAAGTAGGAGAGTCTATCGGAGATAGCATTCACGCAGCTACTCCAATGGGCTTCAAATGTTAAGACTCCTTCCCCTGTACACTTCCAGACAAAGTCTGGTCAAAAGCTGCAACAACTTGCTGGCAACCCAACAGAAGCAGAAGCAGCAGAACTGCCTCACACAGAGCACACAAGCGATGTGAAGAAAACGGGAGAACACAGCCAGGATGAGATCCTCAGGCAGGGAATGATTGAAAGGAGGAAGTGAAGTTCTAGGACAGGCTGCAGGGTTAGGGTACCTTCAGAGGGGTGATGGTGGTTCTTGACCAATTTTGCTGAGAGAGAGATGCTATAGGGGGGTGACTCCTGGGGGTACCGCTTGCCCCCCCGGCCCTCCACAAAACTCCTCCTGTCTGGGGGCGAGGAGAGACGGTGTAAGCACGAGCAACAGAAAAACACTTTCACAAAACCCGAAACACTGGACAGAGATGAGCAGGAGAACCACGTGTGGGACATTGCATTTCCAAACAGGATCCTACGGCCAGCTCCTCCACAAATCCCCTCCTACGCTCTGCTCCAGCTCTGGTGCAAGGTTTACCGTGTGCAGCCACTTGTTACGAACAGTGGTTTACTGGATGAGGACTTTTGGTTACATCTTGCCACTGTTCGCTGCATGCACTATTAAATGTGCTCTGGTCACAACTGATTCATCATCAAGCGGATTGGATAACTTTGATGAGGAAGCAAATGTTCACTGCTCTGTGCCCATCGCGCCCGGCCTAATACTCGCATACTGTCTTATCACCACCTCTCACTTGTTTCTGCAGATCTTCACTCTCTTGGAGGGGCAGGCAAAAAAAGGGCAATGCCCAAAGCAAATTTAAACAGGACGTACAAATGATGGACAATTATCCTACTGGAAACCACAAGAAAAGGACACATTTTTTAAGGGTTTTGAAACCCTGACTTTTATTTATTTTCAGTCTAGTTGAACTTTTCGTTTTTTTTGTGGATTTCAATTGATCAGCTCAGAAGTTCTCCTGACCTTTAAATGAAAGTGTGCTGTGATGAACATTAACCAGTAGGAAAACAGTGATGCCTTTGTGTTTTCAAAGAGTGGGAAGAACCAGTTCATGCACGTAAGTGACAGGAAAAGTGAGACAGAGCTGGAGAGCAACTGACCGGCCAGGTAGACGGGGCTGTCGTAGTGCAGTGGGCTCATCGTGAAGGGCTGGTTGCCGAACAGGTTGTCACTGTGCAGGTTGTGACACAGCTTCTCCAGGAAGCGCAGTACATATGTCACACTATTCACCGCAGGCAGGGTCAGCGTGTGCTGCTCCTGTTCAAAGAAGGCTGCAACAACAAGGAGCAAAAGCAGATCACTTTCCTGCAAGACCTTAATCCAATAAACCATCTTTAAGGCTCTAATACAGCAGCCACTACTACACCCTAACCTAACATAACACAGCAACCCCTCCAATAACACCCTAACTTAATATATCCCCCTGTAGGGCTTTAACACTGTACACTCTCCTGCAACACCCTAACCTAATATACCCTCCTGTACGGCTTAAATACAGTACTCTCCTGCAACACCCCAACTCTGTCTACCCTCTGCAATATACCTAATAATACAATATAGCCAACTGGAAGGCCCAATCCACAGTCCTCTAAGGAACAGCACCAGTTACATTGAGAGCCATACTCACAAAACAGTTCTCCTCCGTTCTGAGCTTATACAGTCTCAGCTAACAAAGCCCAGACTGACTGGGCGGGTCAGATCCGTAGCCACGCCGATCCTATCACAGAGAGAGCCAAGAGACGAAGGTGACAAGGAAATCCGGAGCTCTGCCTGACCTGAGATTACCTCACCCCCGTGGCCAGGCTTGAGGCAGGAGAAGACCGAGCTCTGGTTGTGGGCGCAGTCAATGCAGGCCTGAACGCACTGCTGCAGCACCGAGGAGGCCCGGCCCGGCCCGAAGTGGTCCGGCAGCTGGCGCACCCTCCTCTGGTCCAGGTGAGGGCCCACCTTCCCGTACTTGTTCAGGTACACGCAGACTGCGAGACAGGGGGGGTCGTTAGCACCCGCGCACGGTCGCACGCCAGGTGGGCACAAGGTGCGCCCCGGAATCGCGCCGGCGGTGGTTTACCAGTGGGGGCCTGCAAGGCAGCGGTGGGGATGGTGGCGTTGTCCTGAGGCACGGTGCTGGTGTCCGGTTCAGGGGTGCTGCTGGTGGGGGAAGTGGGCACCGGGTTGGGAATCAACCGAGGTTTCCTCTGCCAACAAGCAAACAGTAGAGAAAGGCAGTCAATCCCTAAACCGATTACCGCAGTACGCCTCTCCTCATGGAGTTACCACATCGCAGACCCCAGAATCGTCTTCATCTCGGTCTTTCCCCTAGCCGCGTATAAAGTGGTGTTGCTTAATCTGGAGAAGCCAGGTGCAGGTTATGTGTATAAGGATCTAACCCAGCCAGTCTGTAGTCAGTCCTTACAGCCACTGCTGACTTAAGGAAAACCGAACATATAACTCTCTGAGCAATATATTCAGTGATACTGGTGGGCCACTAGGTGTCACTCTCTCAACTGCATAGGAATTGTGTGCCAATAATTATGTCCTGTGGTGCATGCATTTAATTTTTAAGACAGGAGTTCTGCCAACTTATTTTGCAAGCATAAGAACATAATTAAGAACAAAGGAAGAGGTAGCCTTACTTACCTAATGTTAGAAATATGTTGTGGATGTTTATAATTTTTTTCAATACTTCAGATGCTCTTTCCTGTTTTTATTTGTTGTTTGCCTCATATCCTGTTTTTCTGCCTTGTGTGTTAACAGAGATAATTGTCAAGATAAATGCACTGTGAAAAGCACGGTACCCAGAGAGACTGCCAACAGTTGAACCAGAGGAAATTGCAACATTGCAGGGTATCTGCAATTACGTTTGATGGCTCTTCTATGGCTATGGAAGCATTTTGGGTCACAATGCCAAGCTGGCATCATGACAACCAGACATTATGGCAGACATAGCATTGCCTGCAAAATTAACAGGCAAATATAAAGGTTCATTTCAAAAAGCCAATTGTTTAGAGGAAGCCACAGAGTTGCGTTACCGTTCAGTTACCTTACTGCCGGGCTTGGGCCCTCTCTTCTTGGGGATCTTGATGGGCTCCAGCGCCTTCAGGCTGCCCGCGGGGTTGTGCTGTACGCCCGCTGTGACCCCCCTCTGGCCCCAGTTCGCGGGCAGCCTCCCCCGGGGCCGGATGAGCGGCCGTCCCGTCATGGTGCCCTCCAGCCAGGCGGCTCTCTTCACCCATCCCACCTGAGCGCCACAGGACCCGCGGCAGAGACACCATTAGATCACGGACTGGCAGCTTGGCTTTGCTAGTCTCCCTCTGACAAGCCCAAACCCAGATCCCGGCTTGTTGAAACATTAAAGGGATCAGGGGGCATGGGGACGTGGTTGACAGTACTAATGCCTAGCACGAGGATCAATTCTGAACTGAGGCATGTTCTGTGTGGAGTTTGCATGTTCTGCCCGATGTGTGGGTTTTCTCTAGGCACTCTGTTTTTCCACCACATTCCACAGTCATGCAGTAAACAGACAGTAAACTAAAAGCAGAATACAACATTTGTATGTGTTTGTCCGATATTTCAATTTAAAGCCTGAAGCTGGGGATTCTTTCCTCCGGGGTCGGGAATTATCTTCCTAGGTTTAGTCTCTTCAGGGTCTCATTAAAATCTGCCATCCTAACCCAAGCTCTAACTCTAACACTTACAACACTATTAACGCTTGTGTCTAGGTAGTTATTTCACCAGGGTAAAATACGTCACTCAAGAGTGCTGCAGACCTGGGTACAACTGAAGTGAGTTTGGATAACAGTGTCCGACAGCTCGAGGGCTGAACTGGAAGGCCGTGGGCTCATATCTCAGGCTGCTGTTGCTCCCTTCAATGAGGCACTGCAAAGTGCTCCGGGAAAAGTGGGCCTTCAGCTTGTCATTCTAAATGAAAACCTTTTCTCCCTGATCTGGTTAAATGAAGGACGAAAACAATATTTTTTACGTACCGGCCTTCCCACCCTGCTGCCGGGCTTGGGCCCCCTCTTCTTGGGGATCTTGATGGGATCCAGGGATTTAGGGGTGCCTGCTGGGCTCTGGCTCTCCACCCCTCTCTGCCCCCAGGCCGCAGGCAGCCTGGTTTTCCTCCGGCCTGGCCGGCGACTCCGCACCCCCACCGCCGCCTTCCCTTCCGCGGGGTGCATGCCCCCTCCTTCCAGGCTGCCCTCGGGCGCGGCGCTGAGACTCTTGGGCAGCACAGCTGCAAGCGAGAGGAGCCAGAGAGATTCTGGGTTTTGGTGTGGTGCAAACGCAGAGAGGGATGCAAGAAAGGAGGGCTGCAGAGGCAGGCAGGCAGGCAGAGGGAGGGACAGGCACACACACAGGGGGGGTGGGGAGCTGACAGCCGAAAGCAGACGGGCACAGACACGCGTGCATCTGGCACAACTGCAAAGTTAAACAAGGTCCGAGAGAATAAAGAAATGACAGGAAAAATCAATGACCCCTGTGAGCATGATATAAAGATTTTTCAAAATAATGGACGGATTTTGACACCACTTTTACAAAGTGAGAGACATCCGGTCTCTGGGACCCCCTCAAAGAGTTTGACGGGGGCCTTGGAATCTTTAAGTTACTGGCAGCCAGGCAAAAGAACTTGCCAACGTGCCTCCTGAAATTTGTGATCCATATACTCCAGAGAAAACCTCTTCACAGGGGTTAGAACAGGGGTTTCCAATCCTCGTCCCAGGATTCCAGATCCAGATCATCTAATAGGCCAATTTAAATCACCTGTTCATAACGTTAGTGAACAATTACTGTATGTACTTTTTTCTTTCGAGAAGCAGACTTTTATTCTCAAGCATCTCTGAATCATTTAACACAATCTGTGCTTAACTGGTCACAGTAAAATTATTTCAGATCTTTAGAAATTGGTGATTTGATAATGTCCTATAAAACTCACTGGACTGAGACTCTTCAGGACCCGGACTGGAGACCCTTGAGTTCGTCAGAAACGCCAGAACACCATCTTAGAGAAAGAAGAACCAAATCAGGCACAGAGGAAGAATTCTTTCTTTCATTAATAAAGGACAAACACAGCTCCACACTAAAATAAACAATATACAGAAACCAAATACAACGGCTCCTCCCCCACTCCCTTCTCTACCACCACAGCAGATCTTCACCAGCGGGTTGGACAAAAACAGCTCTGCACAGCGCAGCTGATTCTTGTATTCTCTGCCCCTCAAGCCCCTCCCTCTCTCTCCTCTCAGGTAGGAAATCCCCTGTCTGTCACTGACACACGCACACAGCCATCTTCAACAAAGGATTCCTTGTAGAAGGCAGTCACAACCTGCCCTGACTTCATCAACGGCCCCCATTACGCTAGTTTGAGACTCACATACTGTAGCAAAGCACACTGTCCCTAAGGTCTGACAGCTGCATCAGCCTCTGTGGCTTGCCGGACCTGTGTCAGCTCTGCCAAGAGACACTCTCGAACCTGTAATGTTACAGCTGGATACTGTCACCAGACAAATCAACAGAGGCTCCTCACGGTCAAGACCGACACATAACATGTGAAAATGAAATAAAACCCCCCAAACATACAGGTCTTGTTTAATAGGCTGAACCTTAGCCCTCGAAGCTTTAATTTATCTCAACAGATAAACCTAGAACCTAGTGATGAACCAAGGAAATAAGGCTGCACAGACACAAGAGCATGAAGATAATCAGCATCACAAGAACCCACCAAAGAAGGAACGAGGTGTGAACTTACTCAGCAGTCCCAGACTTAGCGCAGGTCAATACAAGTTCCACCAAGAAGCTGCTGAAGAGGTGACAGGGGCTCAAGTCTACTTGCAGACCGACTTACAAACGCAGTCTTAGTCTGCTGATTCTGTGTGCCTGTCAGTGTGTGGGAGTCACCTCTGCTCACACACTTCCTTCCTCCCTCCACTTTCGACTCGGTCCCTCAAACCTCAGGCCACATCTCTGACTCGTTGGACTGGAGCCACAGGGCAGGAACAAAGGGAGAAACAGAGGCCGTGTGCACAGGGAGGAGCAGCAGCTACTTGGGACGAAGGTCTAGGAGGTGGACAGGACAGAGGGCAGGGGACTGTAAACCCAAGGACAGGACCCAGAATTACTCAGAAGTATCTGCTGCTTTTGTTGATGGTATACTCTCGTGTTATCCTGTTTCCCCCAAACAAATCACAACTGCCCCTCCTGACCTGCATCAAGAAACAACGTCGTATAATACAATAAATAACAAGAGCAGGTGTTTAATCTATGAGTAGCCTGTGGGTGTCTAACACCTAGCTCTCTGGAATTAAATCCCACTCAGCTGAAACACTCAAAAGAAAAGCACAACAGACTCAAGAGATCTTGCCTCAGAGGCGTCACAATTCTTTCTTGGCTCACAAATGAACACAAAGCATACCCTCCTTCTGAAAACCACTGCTGCAATTGCAGATATTTTTATTAGCATCCTGGATCTGAAATAAGATTCCCCAATAATTTACATATAGCCTTCCATGCAGTTATAAGACCAAGTAATAAAGAGTGAATGTAAGACACAGTATGCAAGACATACCCACAATTACTTCTAAAACCGTGTACACACACAAAAGGCCAGACATCATTCCTGCAGGCACACACATTCACCTCCAGCACAGACACATACACGTTCAGAAACCCTTTAGCTTTTTAAACCCGAAAGGTATTTATCCTGGATCTATTCCGGACAGATTTATGACCACAAAATTCCACAGGCAGGGATTGATACAGCCCACAGCCGGTAGACACTCTGTGAGTTTCTACCCCCACCTCCCCCAGTCACCCTCTGCTTCACTCTGCGTCTCTGAGAAACACACTGAAACACGACAGAAGAAAAATAAACCCTCCTCTTATAGTGAAATCCAATGAGCTTCACTGTGAGATTCTACAACAATACAATCCGGCAGTTGCTTCGCACTCACGGTCAAAAAAGCAGAACCCAGGTACTGCCAGACAAGGGATCGCTCATGCCAAACAGCTGTTTCATATGCTGCACGTGTATGCAGCTATATCTCAAACTCAGAACAGACTTATAGCGTCAGCCGGACATTTTCCTGGGTCCTGCTGTAAGCATGCCTGGCTGGTCTTGCCTGGTGAAAATGACAGACAAAGCCTACTTCCACACTTCACACACAAAGTCCCAGAGCAACAAGTACGGACACAGCGGCGGTGCTGAGCCTACCCTGAGGAGACACAGCGCAGGATTGTGCCTCTGAGTCCTCAGCCTTGACCAACTCCTCCAGTCATCTCTCCCTCTCTCTATCGCTCTCCCCCCACCTCTCGCTCTCCTTTCCTCACTCCCCCCTCATCCTCTCACTCCCACCCCCCTCGTCAAAGCACGCACCCAGAGCTGGGCCACTCTGGTCCGGCTCTTCCTAGCTCTTGTCACTTCTCCTCTCCCTCCCCTCCCCTCCCCCTGACACAAACTCCACCCAGACCCACTCTGCCGAGCTCGCTCTCTCGTCTTTGCTTCTCAGCGCAGGCCGAGCCAGCAGCGAGCCACTCGGCCTCCTCTCCCCGTCTCACTCTCTTCCTCCTCGTGCCTTTGTGCGCCTCCGGGCCCGAGCGAGCGCGTATCCGTGCCAGGGTGAGAGGCCCTGGGCTGGGCACACAGAGGCAGGCTCTGTTGCAGCCAGCGAGCCGGCACCGTCTGCGTGCCAGCTGGGACCATGCCAAGCCCGAGTGCACGCTCGTAAAACACGCTCCCATAAAACACTGCCTCCCTCACCCCCCCCGGCCTCCCGCTCTCGACAGATCCAGGCCTTCTCTGAGTTTCTCTGTCTCTCCAGTGCTCTCTCTCTTTCAATTTCTCTTCCGTTTCCCTTCATCCTCCTCTCCACCCCCATCACTTGCACACTCTCCTCCTCGCTCTACCACTTTCCCCTGCTGCTCCTTCCCTCCTCTCTACCCTCACTCACAGTACCAGGGCTGGCCCCTTGGTCCCTGCGCAGCCAGCCAGCTCACTTCTCCAGGACCTGCGCATCACTACAGTTACAACAGGAACACACAGCTCAAGTTGGCTTCAATGCATTCTTCACACTAGTGACTGCTTGTTCGTGTTTTAGTGCTCGTTATAGTGTATATGGCGATTGGTGCATAATTCCTTCACAAGCATCAGAACAAGATTTACAATAGGAATTCTGCACAGTATATTCACATTTTTCCATGGATCTATCATGCTTGTCCTACACATCTGCAACAAGGATATGCTCTGCAACAGCTCTATGAGCTTTTATCGTGATTTTACTGCTACTTCATACACTTCACACTGCTTTCACCACATAATATGCAATACACAAATGAAAAAGTATATCCTTTATGTATTTTTATGACTTAGATGAAGATCTGATCACATTTTAGGTCAAATTTATGCAGAAATCCAGAAATCACAAACTTTCTAGCACCACTGTATCATGCTTTACCACTGCAAAACTTGCACGAAGACAATACAGGCCCAGACAGGATTGTCAGTAACTTCAGTGCATGATCCTTCATGCGGGGGGTCCCTGGGAGACACTCAGAGACAGCCGGACAGTGTGTCAGACGCCTAACCTCAGGGACAGACACAGCCCGCGCTGACACACAGAGATGCATCCTGACAGACGGGTCAGCTGAGCACGCACAACGACAGTCCTCTACCATCATGAAGAGGGAGACAGGAACTGTCACAATGAAATCACCATAACCTGGGGCCTTGACAGTAAAGAGGTTCAGCCCGGCTTGGATCATGGCTGAGCTCTCATCACTGTGCAGCAGCAGATTGAGGAAACAGGCAAGACAGGGAGTGAGAGCCGTGTGCGACTGTTGCTGGGCAGCAGCAGGGTTAGGGCTCGGGGTGAGGCAGACGGTGGCAGTGCCATACCCTTGGTGCCGGGGGGCTGCAGGTTGTCTCCAGTGAGGGAGCACCAGCCCACTGGGAAGATGTCTCGGGAGTCATAGCGGCAGTAGTAGTCAAAGGCTCCCCTCCAGCCATCGAAGGTGACCAGCACCTCCACGCCCCGCAGAGCCCCAACGGTGGCCGGGCAGATGAAGTGCGGGTTCTTGCGGTCCACGGCCTCCAGCTTCATGCCCACTTTAAAATAGTTCTGCTCGGGGGCAGGCGGCTCCTGCTGGGTAAGGGTGCGGGAGAGAGGGTGGGGAGAGGCGGGAGGTTAGAAGCTGGGAATCCAGGCCACAGGCGTACAGAAAAACCACACCCTGCTGTCATACAACTGGAACTGGAGCGGCTTCAGGCTACAGGCTTGTTCTGTTGTAACCAGTTTTGACCGTTACCGCCATACAAAGCTCAAGATTGCCTGGCTAAATTTAAATATTACTACTGGGCTGGGCTTTTTGGCTGACGGTACTTGGGAAATGGCTAAGTGCTCATTCAGCGGTACTCAGTGCAACAGCATCGTGGACCTCAAAGTGAGAAGGCATTAATTAAACCCATTAGATTCCAGAATCTGCTATGTTCTGCCCTTAAAAGGCCCAGCTATCGCAAACTCACTGGACATCTGGAAGAAAGTCAAGCAGGTTGGAGAAACCTGCCTACATTTCCTCATTCTCTCCAGTGTGTGGCCGTGGGGATTGTATCTGTGATCCGAATCGTACAATACTCACGCTTGGCTATTCAAGATTGTAAAACATAAATAACTGACGATTCCACATTAGTAAAAAAAAAGACTCCCCTCAGCCCTTCATACCTATAGGGTGCCACATTGGGACATCGGTTTTCCCTCTCATACAGTGGCTGATCTGACTGTCTGACAGCCACCGTCATGTGGGACAGAGAACTGGACAAGTAGGATAATAATGCTGACTGCAATAATAGGCCAATATTCTCTCTCCACAAAATTTCACACACCATCTAATTCGGTTTAAATGTGCACACAGAATGAACACCACACCGCACTGACAGTTCCAGACGAGGACAACTCTTGGTCCTCCAGCCACAGATGCAGGCCAAGAGCGGGTTTAACTGGGACAATAGTCAGGTTGTCACGCTGTGTGTTTTACTTCGCCTCACCTTTATAACTAGAGACTTAGTTAGGATTTGAAAGGACGCTGCCGTTTTGATATGTTTTTTTATCCAGGGGTGGGGAGCTGCCACAAGGTGAGGGCTTGTGTGATGGGGGGGGTGGACTGGATTTTTTGCTAATGTTACTCTATAGTTTCCCCCCCACAGGAAAATAACTGAAATATTTGATCACAAAAAAACAGTGCTTCAAAACCACACCGGAGAGGAGTGTAGGCAGGTTTTAGAATAAGGGAGAAAAGAGGAGACCTCTGTCTGGCCCTGGGAAGGTCGTGTCCGAGCGGGTGGCGAGAGGGGCAGGTACCTTGTGGAATATCCGCCCCGGAGCCATCTCCGCCCCGTTCAGCGTCTTCAGCAAGAACATGGGCCAGGAGGACGCGTTCAGCCGGAAGCCTGCAGGACAGACAAACACACAGCCAGGAGGCTTTAACACCGGCCAGCCCCGGGGGCGCCACCGGTCAGCCCTGCATCTCTCAACTGTAAAGGCTGGAAGGACTGGAAGTGGATCTCCGAAAGCTTCCTGTTCCGATCTGCATTGACCTCCAACGGGAAACATTACAGCTCTTGTGTTTTGAACTGCACTCTTGTCAAGAGCTCCGAAGGGCTTGGAAACGGTACTAAATTCCTCTTTGCGGAACAGCTCACAAGATGCTGATCAGCAGGAGCCTCTCACGCAGTGCTGCAATGTCTTGGACACATCGTCTCCAAGGCAGCCGTTAGGTACTGTACTGCTATCTGCCAGACACCAAAACACCTAGCATCCCCCTAGAGTTTCATATTTGTAAAACTCACCGGGTGTGTGTGTTCTGGGTTTTTTTTTTCTATTAACTCCATATTAGCCATTGGCTGCTGTGATGCAGATATAATCTGGTCACCAAAATGACCACTGACGACAAAACCTACAAGTTATTAAGTTACTGTACGTCCATTCAGAAAAGATAAAACAGTGGCAACGTTTACAGTGGTAAAAAAACACATGCCTGTTGTACACGGACTCACGCAGCTCAACAACTTGAAGGGCTACGGCTGTGTGGCATGTCTATAGTACTGTGCGTGACATTTCAACACACATAAAATGAACTGCGTAAACGTGAGTGAGTTTCGAAGGTGGATTTGATTTTGAGGGCAATA